CCCGCCCCTTTCTTTCCACAAGGGTGTTAAATACGTTAGGCGACAACGAGGAAGCAGAAGCATTGCCGTCCATGGACGGAAAAGAAAACGATGTACAAAGATAGACAACATGTTCCGGCCGATAATAATAATTCTACGCGGACTTGCAAGGCTCGCTCAAACGGCTCAAACCCCCCAAAAATACGTCGCGTCATCCTGCGGAGGTTGATTGATTTTCGCAAAATGCTTTCTCCGTTAACAACGCCAGCTTGCCAAGTCGCCGGGATAAAATTAAAACGCTTTCGTCCGATATAGTTAGAGCAGAGCATTGGTTATGTTATTTTTCGTCCGCCTCGCGCGCCCCGCGCCGCGCCCACAGCGGGAGGCCGCTATAGGTTATGTTGTACCGCTGGCCTGGAGACTTAGTGTTGTTTACATAGTTGAGACAAGAATTTGAGATGTATGAGTTAAAGATACGCAGTTTGTTTTACTGGCACTCTGATGTTGAGCGTAATAAAAACAATTACCAGAAAGGCCAGCCCTCCTGGCCAAACGAACACACCAATCACAACAGAACGAACGGCGATGGAAAAAAACTTACCTCAGCACTAATCCAGAGAATGTAGGAGATGAGAAGGAATGATTCGCCCAGAGGGTTTCTTGCCACAACTACTTGGACACGTAATCCGTTCAACGATATCAACAAACACAACATCACAAGGTGTAAACACTGGCTTCCCGCGTCCGACTGTCCGACTGGTAGTTCGGTGGTGCACCGCGGTGGCTGGCTAGCGGAAGCGGGGGGCGGTGGGGGTGTCAGCCAGTCTGTGGCGTTGTCGCCTGTCGCCAGTTTGATCCGAGAGGCCACGCACTGGCCAGGAAATGGCACTTATTCTTGACTTGACATCGATAGTCTTCCCAGCGAAAGAATAGTGAAGTGCGGATGGCGGATTCCGTGGCTCTTTTCCCCCACTACTCAGTTCTCACCAATCAGTACACAAGAAACTGAGTAGTGGGGGAAGAGAGCCACAGAATCCGCCATCTGCACTTCACTATTCTTTCGCTGGGAAGACTAGACACGCATTTGCGCCGTAGACTGAACTCTACAAAATTAGCTCTCGCTCAGAGACGCTCGCTCGCCTGCCTCCGCAGAAAAGCTTTGACAACGTCACAAAACAAAAGACAAAAATATGACCATCGATATTTCTCTCGATGCTCATTAACGTTCTGAGTAGCCTATTTCTTCAACACCCGGGTGCAAAAATGTAACCGCCCCCCCTCTCCCTCCCTCCCTCATCTCGCTTCCCCAGGCACGCGCCTCGCATGCGCCCGGCCGCGACCCCTGTGGCCCCCCATCCATCCCGACATTCCTTGCTTTCATTCTGAAGAGAACTAATAACTCCCCCCGGTTCCTCTTTGCTGTTTGTCGGACTTCCCCCCCGGGCCCCGGGAGGAGGTTGTGGCGCTGCTGACCCGCCAGCGACACAACACCCCGCCCCTCTCCCTCCTCTTTTTTCGCCACTGCGGTCTGGTCTGCACCCGCGAGCCAAATGACGTTACCGACCGACCACTTGGCATACTAATATGACGAGTTACCACTGTGGTTAGTGGCGGTAAAACAACAGTAAAACAAAAGACCTGCATGCTCCCCTCAGTACCTAGTTGCCCCCGCTATGAAATATGGTTCTAACCACGCGAGCCGCTAAACGAGCACTGGCTTCTACCTGATTTGAAACGACCTGCGCAAGGCATTCAGCTGCAGCGACATCGGCAAGCGCGCGGTTAGTGGGGGAGGGGGAGAGGCGGCGCAAGGTCTGCAGCGCCTGCAGTCCGCGCTGGGGCAGACGGCTGGGTTCGGAAGTCAATTGGGTTGCCTAGCCTTCCGGCGCTCAGTGGGTGGGGAGTCATGCGGCTATGCCCGCCAAGTCTACAGGGGTTTAAAGGAGTAAACCACACATAGGAGTCATAGTAAGCAGGCGCAGTATCATACGCCAAAATTCTAACTATTTTTTGTAATATTTAATTTTAATTGCATCGAATTTATGTCTGTAAAGAAGAAAAGGGTTATCATTTTCAGTTTATTTTTACTGACATCACACTTACAATCTACTCACCAACAGCTTGATAAATTAAATGCCTGTTTATGGATACATTTCACACCAGTTCCAATAGAATAATATGAAGCCCACCAAAAAGTTTGTGTCATAATTTACCCCAAAAGATTTCATTGAACCACATTCAATTAGCTGAGCTAATGGAACAATAAATAAAATCTAGTAAGATAATCACACCATCAAGTCTTGTAATTGACTGAAGTCCTTGCTGCGGAAAGGATACTGCCATGTTGTAAGAAGGAATCATCAACACTGGTCAAAATTTATGTCAAAGGGTAAGAAAGGACGATGCTTCTTTTAGATTGGCTGACAGTAATACTGGAATGAGAACCCTAGGTTGGGTGCGCTGTGACCCGCTGCTTTTTGATCTCAACCGCGATTACACTAAGATACCAAGCTATCCGCTAAAGCCAATACTGCATGTTGTCATTTAAATGACGAGTGGTTGTGACCACTGTGGAATGAAATCAGTACCATAATATTGTGACAATGAGATAGATGACTAGGATCACACTGGAAGAGTTCTTACCATTATATATCTCTTACAATGCTAGTCAATTTGGTCCCTAAAGCACAAAGCATTTTTGTGCAAATTGAGCACATAAAAATCAATCACAGAAACATACATAGCATACATTCACTTACATAGGTACATCATACATACATTATAATACATTAATATAAGGGCAATCTACACATTTAAAAGTGTGTAACAGTGTAAAAAGAACAATAGCCTGTCATAAATCTATCACAGACAATTTCTCGACAGCAAAAACTCAGCTTTTAACGGACAGATGAGAATGATACAAAAATTGCCATATCATGTATAGGACTATTTCACAGGGCTAAGAGAGGCAAATACCCCTTAAGTTTTAAAGAAATATGAAAATATTTACGTATGCGCACATTATCTCCTCCTGCGATTAAATAAGCAGTGAGTCTTTTTTTTTTCTGCTGCTCAGCGTCCGTTAAGCATGTCCTGGATCTCCTGCAGCGACTTCCCTCGTGTGTTAGGCAATAGGAAGGTGAAGAGAGAGGCTAGCACGCAGAATGCGGCCAGAGCCCAGAAGGTCATGTCACCCCCAATGGCGTGCTCGACCTGCGCGAAGAAGAGGGTGATGAGGAAGCCGAGCAGCCAGCAGAAGGACGCGCAGACCGAGGACGAGATGGCCTTGACGTCCGGGGCGAACACTTCGCCCATGACGGCCCAGGGCAGTGGGCCAAAGCCTGAAACAAGCGAGCGAGCGGGTGTGGCGGTTAGCAATGCACGAGCTTTGGCCACAAAATGCGATAAATTTGTGGTCGCAAAGACCCTACCGAAGCAATACACGATGATGTAGAACACAAGGGAGCCGACGGGAAGTGCTCCTACGGCGGATATATCCTGACCCGTTCCGAGTAAATGGAAGAAGTATCCGAGAGCAGCCTGGAAAGAGACAAGAAAGGTTTAAGGATTTTTCTTCTTTGCCGAAACTGCAATTTTTAAGAGAAGAGACTTACGTGTGCCGCGGCCATGCCGAATCCAGAGAAGATGAGGAGGGCTTTCATGCTGAAACGCGCCGTCAGCGCCAGGGTGCCGGCCGAGGCCGCAATCTGCACCAAGCCGATGATGATGGTGCAGATCTCAGGGGCCAGGCTGGAGCCCGTCTTCTTGAAGATGTCCTGGGCGTAGAAGAGGACGGCGTTGATGCCGGAGAACTGCTGGAAGAACAGGAGTCCGCAGCCAAAGTAAAAGGCCTTGATGTTGCCGCGGGTGGCAAAGATCTGGAAGAAAGACTGGACCAGGGGTTTCTTCTTGGCCAGCGCCTCCTGCGTCTCCTCCTGTTTGGAGAACAGAACAAACAACGAGTATGAGAAACGAGTCCAGGACTCCGGGCGCCCGGTGGGGTACTCGGGGTACTCGCCTCCAGCTTGCGCATCTCGCCGATGATGCCCTTGCGGTCTTGGCCGCGCAGCCACTGCAGCGCGTCGGAGGCCTCCAGGGTGTCGCCGCGCGCCAGCAGCACGTACGGAGACTCGGGCATGGCGAAGAAGGCTGCGGCGAAGAGGACCGGCACCAGGCCGCTGCCGATGGCCAGCCACATGGGCGACACGTAGGGGCCGATGGCGAACGGCACCATGAAGCCCACCGTCAGCGAGAGCTGCATCAGCGACCCCAGCGTGGAGCGCACGCTGTCCTGTGTGCAGAGAGCAGGTGGAGGTTGTGAGCGGGGGCCAAGTCGGGCGCCGCCGGCCGGCGAGGGAGGAGGGCCTAGAGACTCACGGTAGCGATCTCTCCGATGTACATGGGCAGGACGGTGAAGATGCAGCCCGTGGCGACGCCGGCGATGAAGCGCGCGGCGTACAGCCAGGAGGCCGAGCCGGCCGCGGCGATCAGCACCCAGGAGAGCAGCAGCAGCACCGAGTCGCCGAGCAGGGTGGGCTTGCGGCCCAGCTTGTCGGCCAGGATGCCGGCCGGGATGGGGCCGATGGCGGCGCCCAGCGGGGTCAGGCTGCCCACCCACGCGGCCTCGGACGGCAGCAGCGAGAAGGTCGTCTCCCGCACGGGGTGCGCGAAGGGCACGAGGGTGGCGTTGACGCCGCTGCCCCTCATGAACGTCACGTTGGCGATCTCGACCGGCGGCGCCGTCGAGTTGTCCGGCATGAACTTGGGCAGCGACGGCGACGTCCAGCACAGCACGCAGCCCGCGGCCAGCGCGATCAGGTTGGCTGCGGAGAGAGCAAACGGCGCCGTTACAGTAGAGTGACCTATAAGGAGAGGAGCGACGCCCACGTCAGCTGACCCCCCGGGTCAGGCCCGGGCCGGGCTGCCGCGAGCTTACCCGCACTCCCTGATTTGCACCCGGGCCCCGGGAGGGCGCCCCGAGGGGTCCGCACCCCGGCGGACTGTACCGCGCCCGCACTTCACACACCACCACCAAAGCCAGCAGCTCAAAACACCCGGCCTGGCCGACCGGAAGTGCTACCGGCCGCCAACACCTCGGTGTGAAGAACTAACCTCGCGCCCCGCAGCGGTGGGCCGAGCCGGGCCGGGCATCCGGCGGTGTCGGCTGCGGATCCGGAAACAAAAGCGAAGCCTGCGCGGCGTAGCGTGGCGTGGTGAGGGGATGCTGAAGTGATCCCGCTCATCCAGAGGGAGCGGCGGCGCCTGCCGCCCCCCAAAACAAAAGGGGGGCCTTCCCTGCCTGCTGAAAGCACACACACACACTCGTACAGGAAGCAGATGGGAAGCCAGGCAAGCAAGCAGAGGCAGCTATCGCACACAACACACACGGATACACTCCCTCCTCCCTTCCTCCCTCACTCGATCACTCACTCGATCACATCACTCGCTCGATCACTCGGGTCGATCTATCACTCACTCACTCACTCACTCACTCACTCACTCACTCACTCACTCACACACTCACTCACTCACTCACTCACTCACTCACTCACTCACTCACTCA